CTAAAGAGTATAGTGCAGCACTGGCACAGGTCACCCAGAGAAGCTGTGGAATCTCTCTCTCCTGGGAGGTTTTCAAGACTTGGCTAGACAAAGACAATGCTGGCTTGATCTAGTGTTAGTAGTCTTCCCATTATGAGCAAGAAGCTGGACTAGATGACCTCCAGAGGTCCCTTTTGACTAATGTTTCTACGGTTCTGTGGTTTCTTGGTACAGAAGAAGCAGTATCAGAAGTCTCTCTACTTTGTCCATTTGCCTAAAGCATGACAAACAATTAGACGTCTTAGGGTTACAAAAGTACCTCTCCCTCTTTCCAGTGCCCAATGCCAATACAGTAACCCGTGCTTTAATTTACCTAGAATAAACACACAGTCTGTTAAGTGGCCTACAAAATTAGCTGTGAACTTACTCCTGATGAGAAAACAACTCAAGTTGTTAAACAAAAATGTTAACAGCAATTTGTGGGAGGTTTCAAACAAGAACCCCTAGCTTCCAGGGTTAGGAGCTAGCACAAATCTGTGGGGGAGAAAAAAGGACTCTCTTATTCACCTTCACATGGGCAAATCTGGAACACAATTTTACAAGACCAACATTATATAACATAGGAAACAGAAATGCAGAGCAGCTTTCATTACTGGGACTCTTGCTAAAAACAAAGATACAAAATACCATTCTTAGAAATGATTTACCAGAAGCTCTGATATGCTACTCACTAAAAGAACTCAGAGCCCCTTTGATCAGCTTCAAGTGCTTCTTTATTAAAAGGAACAGGAGAAAGGCTGTGTCTGTTCGTATTGTCATGTTGATTTATGTTAAATACAAAACAAGGCCAAATTTTGTATCAATCAAATGCAGAGAACCAGCCATGAAAGAACTTCAGTACATTACTAACAACCAGCAGGTAGCCTGCGTGCCAGTAATGTCTAGAATCTGCTCTGGGAACGAACCTATTTTGAGGTCAAATTTTCACAGTGGATTACCTGATTTAAAAATCGGGATCTCTTACTTGACTTCAAGTGATTGATATGCTGCTGGATCTCCCAATAAATTGTTTCGGTGTTTTTCTACCCTCATTCTCCCACCTCCAAGGCCAAAGCCTTTTCAACAAGTTATAGAATTTGGCTAAACAGATCCTTCTTGGGAGAACTTATTCAAATGTCTATCTTTGACTCAACAAAGCCAATAAAACTGCAAACAACATAACTAGAATGAGTTACATTACATTACAAAACTGTGTTTCAGCATTTTGCAATCCATAATCCTTACCTGAAAGGGGGAAAAAAAGTAACAGTGAAATTAATCCAGTGTCTTTTACCAGTTTTACTCATGTTCAGGAATGAACTGCAAATATGTGGACATCTGAAATCTTCCGTTCTATTACTATCATATAGTTTTCAGTTTGAAAAGGTTTAGAGGCATCAGACTAAAAAGTATACTTCTTTTGACCTATCTCTGACCTGGGTGCATGACCGGAATCTGTCAGAGCCAACAGTGAAAACCCTGACAGTAAAATTAAGAAATAATGATAATTATAGATCTCTGTTGCTAGTATAGAGATATCTTTAATATGGCCTGAAATTTAACAATTGAAGTACCATTAACATCAGGTCATGAAATCAAATGTCCCTAGATAACAGTTTAACATAGTGATAGGTATTATTTGGATTCAGGGAATGTATGATTTGATCTGACTAACGTGCTAATAGCTAATAAAAATCCGTGAAGAGTGGTGCATGAAAAAAGACACTTAATAGGCCCTGTTCTGCTACTCCTCACTGTATCTAAACTCTCCTTCATGGCAGATGGCTGCTAACTGCAAAAGAGAAGAAAGGTAGTGTATTGAAGGCACATTTTGTGAGCAGTATCTGGTATCTATTTCCCTCTTTGAAAATCATTACCTGTGGTCTGTGGTTCATTCACGACACAAATTTCTTTCCAATAGCATGCTAGGTCCCGGTATCTCCCCCAGAGCACTCTGCCTTCCTTCAGTATTGCTCCTACACTAACCATTTGATAGGCTAGCAATAAGACTTGAATATTTGTCAGTCCTTGATATCACTTGAAATATATATCCTCCTGCATAATCTAAATGGCATCATCCTACGATAAAAGAAACGTTAAGACAGTTTATACACAATTCTATCTAAAACAGTTTCTTATATGGTAGTCATAGCAAATGCATTATGTTCGAGCTAAGTTTTCAAACTGCTCTTGCTTCATTGTGTGCATGAGCTTTTCATCCCTCATACTGCAAACACTCAAGCACAAGCTGAAATAGAAATACACAGGCACAGGAAGGTAAAAGTGCAATGCGGGAAAGGACATAAACATTAGCTCTCTGCAATCACAAGAAATATTGTCACATATTTTTCTTTATTAAGCTGATCATGTTCCGGATCAAAAGTCCTTAGCCTTGGGAGCTTTCAGGGGAAACTTGTTAGGCTTCTTTTGGCTCTTCCTGCTCCACCATTCCACATGAATGATCAGAACCACGCAGACTCCTGGACAAAATCTCACCCGGGTTCATACCAAATAAACTGCTCCTTCTCTGGCTCTTACTTGGAAAGATCTACACCCATTACTTCATCTTAGCATATCTGCCTTTCCTAAGGCTCATTGCATTATGTCTCCATGTGGTCAGCTAGTATCCCCATGTTCTCCTTAACCATTTCATACTAATTCTAATGCAGAAATTCTTGGTATTATACCCTGAGTTCAAGTATGATGACCCACAGCGTCATTTTGTTTCACTTTAGATCAGGAGAGGGACTTTATGTTGCATCTTTCAGAGACGCAACCCAGAACATGCAGCCTAAGAAAAAAAACAGAAAAGATGAGATGCCTTTGATTTTTTTTTTTTTTTTGGTCTTCCTGTTGTCATGAGCTGCTCCCAGAGAGTAGAAGGCTGGGGGAGCATTAGCTCACCATAAAATGCCATAAGCCACAAAACGGTGCCCAATGTAACTCAAACTCTGAATTGCCGCCCATGTTACAAGAGCAGTGTTGCACTGCACTTCAGTGAAGCCTTGCATACTTCACTACTTTAGTTTTCTCTCAGCTCTTACAGCAAGGGACTCTGGTCCTCATGCAGCTGCAACTCTGTTCCCAGACTCACATCTGGGGCCAGAGCGAGGTAAGAATCTCACCCAGCAATTTGTCTCCTCAGGATTATGCTTCCATCTATAATGAGAGATGAACCTCAGAGTGTGGCAGTATCAATTAGCAGAGTATGTCACTGAACTGAAGGAACAGCAAGGTGCGCACAAAGCCACACTATCCTTTTAACAATGGCTTTTCGTGCTCATAGTTCATCCTGGAAAGCAGAACTAACATGACACAATGGCTAGTGAGTTTGAAAAGGGGACAGAAGACACATAGATACAGTTAGAAAACATATACACTACTGACAGGAATGAAAGACTGCTGAATGAAAGACTGTTTTCCTCAACAATGTAAAGCAATTCACACTACACTTACTTTCTCTGTATGTACCATGTGAGAATTGGGAATCTGTAATCCAGACGACTTGTAGCAGTATAGTATTTTATTTTAAGGGCTGTTCCACAGTTGAAATGCCAATTCTATGGAAAAAAACTGAAATTTTACTTTGCTTTCAGTTCCAAGTGAAAACTTCAAAAATACACAGCAGGACAAAAATACATTGGTGGGAAGGACCAGCCAGAAGAAGTGGGGACAGAATGAAACTATTTCAACATTAAACCACACATTCTGATAAAATGAAAAGATTTCCTTTTAATAATGATTTAGATGTATTTGATTTTACTGTAATACAACATGATCTAATAAAAGTTCAAACCTGTAGACTATAACCTTTTTCTTAAAATGATATGATTAAGTATTTAAAGTTGTAAAAGGAAATATAGGGATTGGTGTTTTAAGCAGCTATAAGTAATCGACAAAGGCAAAATTCCACTGCAACTTGAACACACAGCTGGACACCAGCTACAATATTGTCGGGGATATGGGAGGGAATAGACAAGTGTCCTCTCTCCCATCACATCACATGGAAGATAGAGCTCATCAGTTGTGCTATAAGGAGAGAAGGCTACAGTTCCCTCTGCTCTTCTAGCTATGAAATCTATCCTACTGTACAAAAAAAATTGTAACAAAAAAAATAAGAGTAAACAGCCACATGTCATGTCAGAAGGCTGGGCACCATAGGAGCCCTTTGAAAAGGCGTTTCACAAAGGAGTCGGGGAACCAGCTATAGCTGGTGTACTCTGTCACTTTAACTCATTAAAATCCTATTACCTGTCACAGGCTATTGAAGAAATCCTATCCCTTGTTGGAGAATTGAGTAGAAGAGTTTAGAAATAACGCAAAAGAGAAAGAGGGTCAAAAAGAGAGTGACAGAGAGATGAGACAGAGAGATAAAAAGGAAGATGACTACAGAATATTCAGATGTGTAAAGGGTCATGTGGCCTTGCAAATCAATACTTTTGGAAGTTTATGGCAACTGCTGGTAGAAATTCTGAAATCAACATAAAATATTTGGGTATATGTTTGGTTGAATCCCCTTTTGTTTGCTTTTCCCGATTTTGAAACTTGAGGTATGATAAGATCAGAGTTAACAAAATAAATAATCAAGTGTTGCTAATCTTGACTGAACCAAGAGTTATTTTCCCCGCTAGAGAAGCAAAAGCTCTAAAGCACACAGAAGCAAAAGTCATGAGGGCTTCTTGTCTTAAATCACAGTTTTATCCAATAACCCTGTATGTGATACACAAATAAGCCTTTGGGTTTTTAAGTTCACACAATTACAGCGCAGTAAAACCTGTTACCTCTTGAAATATTTTGCCCGTAAGGACTACAAAACAGTTACCTTTAACACAAAGCTATCCTTCGTAGTACGCTGTTACCAAAACCGAGTAGTAGGAATGGCTCTTTTTTTTTTTTGGTCAATTTCCTAATTCTTTCAATAAAAGGAAAAAATAAAGAAAAGGAAAGGAGGGGAAGAATAAATACAGGAATACAGTTCTTACCCTGAAGAGCGGCAGTCTGGTTTATTTCTTTCAGAGCGATCTGTGAGAAAGGAGGCATAATATCAGCACAGAACTTGGATGTTCTTTAGCAATTCTAGTACAGAAGCCTTAAAGAACTGCCATACCATATGACTAGCAAAAACAAAAGCTGATTCTGTTGCAAAACTCTCTTTTTCTGCATTGGACTACTCTGCTCAAGACAAAGAAAAATTACTGGAAGTTTAACATTTGTTAAAATTCCTCTTCTGAAAACATAGTGTATTTAATGTTTTATATTAATGCTTTGGAAGCTTCCCCTCCCTTTAGCTGAAACGAATAGGACTTTAGGGTAACACTAAGGGAGAGGGAAAAAGAAAAAAGGAAAACCACAGATTACTCAGCGCAAAAAAATCATTCCATGAATCATGGCTGGCAGAGTTCCTCGACAGGATGGGAGAAAAATCAGCAGTTGGCTGCAGCAACATCTGCAAATACACTGAATCCAGTGCAGCCCCACCATTAACTCTTTGACGTCTGGGTGTTCTAGGTACTAAATCTTTTTCAGTTTTCAGAAAGGGTTTCGTTTATTCAATGAGTATTTCAAGCAGTTTATTTGCACAAATGAGACTGACCAGCAAACCAAACCTACAAGATACAATCACAGAAGCTCAGAAAAACATTTTTCCCATTGAATAATTTAACAGTTCCTAAAGCCAAGTCTAAATTTACTTTTAAATGTTTATTTATTTTTGAAAATTCTGATATGCAAAAGTATAAAATAGCTATTCCAAATAAAAGAGTTAAGATTTATCATATAAGCATTATAAAATAACCACTGTGTTATCAGAATTGACATATTATCAGTAAATATAAAAAGGCCCAGTATGTCTCTTACCATATGACTTTTGAACTAACTGAAATGAGTAAATGAGATGTGTACTCCTGAAATACATATATGCTAAAATTAGAGGTTTAAAAAAAAAATCATTTATAATAAAAAGATCCGTTGTGCAAGTCTTACAGCTATAATCTCCACTGACCATGGTAATTTTGCTTCTCATCCTCCTGTGTGTCTTTTAGAAAGCAACCTACTTTTTCCTGTGCCAGTCAACAGTTTAATGAAAAACTTGGCCATACAGAAGAGTAAGTCTTCATAAGAAGCCATTTCATATTCACAGACTGTATTTTGAACCTTATTGCTCTGTATTTCAAAGTAAAATGTTTTCCCTTAATAGCACATATTTGTTTGAACAGTTTTGACTCATGTACAGAAGAAATATTTTCCTCTCCAGTTCTATGTGTTTGCATTTGATTACATTTTGATTGAAGTGGTAAAAAATTATTGAACATCAACAGTGCTCAAAGAAATATTTAATGCTCTTTCTGTCCACAGGTGCTCCTATTGAGCTGTCACAGTCACACAATACATAATTTGCTAAGTTTCTGATTTACAGCCATCTCTATTTCATCATAACTGGTGTTACCCTGTTAGCTAGAAACAGCATACAATAGCTCGCATCAGAGTTACAACGGCAGTTGTTCAAACACACACAGAAAGACTTGCTCCTTCCGTCCTTATCATTTGCTCATGTAACCCCCTTACCTGTGAGCACTGAAAAATCAGGCAGAACTTCCTATTTAAATCTGCTTGTCGTCTGTTGCGTGTTATCAATGTTTCCCAGTCGTTTATGCAACCATGATCTAACCGTACTTGGACAAGACCTTCCCACTTCTAAAACATTAGTATGAATGTGTCAGTGAGAAGGAAGAAAAGGAGTCCCAGAACATGTAAACACAGCATCTTGCAGCTCTCCTCCACAGCCCACTTCCCACTGGCAGATCCATGGCAGCCCCTCTGCACCGCTGGAACCTCATCAGCCAGGAAATCAGTGCAATTCCCCTCTCCCTTTCATTTTACTGAACTCTTGAAACGGGAAACATTATGGTTGTTTTTACACATTTTATTTACCGCTAAATTTAGAGAAAGCGCATCATCTGCGCATACACTGGCCTCACTAGAAAGAGCAAAGGGAAACATAACACTACTAGCATGCAATTAGCATTTTTAAGCAGAAAATAAACCCTATGCAAATTTAAGGTGATTATAGATTTAATATTCTAAATTTGATATAGTACCAAGGGTAACGAGAGACTCAGAAGGAACTGAATCTTCCAGTTCAGGGCTTAAATTTTGATACTCTGGATGCTGTTTTGGCATTATATACAAGCACCAATTCAAGTAATGTCAGATACCATGTCAGTTTGCTGTGACATATACTACCTTCCAGAACAAATTTCTGCAGATGAGAAATTTATACCATTTTCACGATCTTTGTGTTGCTAAAGCACTACAATTCCTTACTGTGTATGTAGCTATAGTCACAAAAATCAGAAAATCCTGAGCAGCTAATACTCACATGATAGAAGATTGGATCATTTTGATCGTAAGTTTTTTTTGGATAATAAATGTTTTTAAAAATCATCATCGCCCTAACCTGACAGCTACATAAGAACTGCACGTAGCTTGGGCTTTGTGATAGCGTGGTAGATGTACTCTCCATTTATTGACAACTGGGGGTGGTGCAGTGCTATCACATCTTTAATTTTACTGCTGCAGATTTTGCCAGCTAGCTCAGGTATATCTGATTCAGCACAGACATATAGTACAGAGATAGTTCTTCCACAGCCAGAGAAGAGTTCTTTCTGCTTATCTTCTAGGCCAAAAGCCACCCAGCCAGCTAACACTTCCTGCTTTACCTGCACAGCCACAAACAAAACCAATTGCAACTCCAGTTTTCAGTTCAGATAAGTCTCCTTTCTGACTAGTTCAGTATATGAGCAGAATAAGTTCATATGTCCCTGCAAAAGACCATACTGACACATCTAAAAGGCTGGTACACACTGTATAATGTGCTGCTGTTTCAATAGACAGAAGTGACTGATAGTACACACACGCCTTCTATGCCCTGACTGCAATCACAGATATTGATACTTTAAAACTGTGGAGATAAACTAGTAGCTATGTTGGAATTTACAGCTCAAGAGTCTAAAGTCACAAACAGAACTACACTAACTTCTCACCCAAGCTACAGCCCATTGCAAGAGAGAGGGGAAGCATCAAATTAAAAGGCTGTCCCCACAGCACACTATTTGCAGTCTCTCAGTTCGTAAGACCTGAGCATCCAGTCGCCTGCAGTCCAGATTTAAAGAGATTTTCCCCACTTGATACTAGCACCTACTCTTTACAAAAACCTTTGCTGCCCTTATACAAATACAACCAGTGCAGGAGAACTATATTACCCTTACTCAGGATGCAGTGGTACGATATAGCCTAAGCAGTCAAAGAGCTGGCAAATGGAGCAGACAGGCAGAGACTTATGGCTGAGGTTGGCAAGACAGGCACCATGTTTTAAATACTGAAGAGGAATCAAGGGCAACAGCAGGATAAAAAGAGCTGCTGTTCACACCACTGCTGTTTTGCAAATCTAGCATGTACTTAGAAAATTGTGCTGTGTGCATTCCATCAATAGCACAGACGTTTTCTGTCTTTTACCAGCACATAAAGGTTGAGTGGAAGATGGAAATGTCACAGTCCAGCTGCTTTCCAAAAGGGTCAGGTTTCTTTAACTGGCAATTTCATTTCCCTTCAAGCATGGGAAAATCATCATCTTTGTTTGTTTGCTTTTAAAATGACAGAACAGTTTTTCTTCTCAAGGAAAATATAAACATAACCATCAGGAGAAAAATAACTGACATACAGTTATTTCAGTTGCTCCACAAACCCAGAATAGCTTAAGTTTTTGCCAGAAAGATCACCAACAAAGCAGAAAACAATAGCATTTAAGTCATTCTCTCTTGTCTTTGGAAAACATGCAAAGAAAAGAAGAGAGGCAACTTACACCAAGGAGAACCATTGTTTTTCTCTGTTTATTTTCCAAGACTCTTCCAAGTATCTGGTTGCTAAGTGTGACTACAACCAAAAAGTGTGCTCTCACTACAAAAAAATTTAAGTATAAACATCAAATGCTGTTGAAAAATGAACGGAAAGTTAGCAGGCTTTCTGCTCCTTCAAATCTCCAGTGACTTGGGAACGTCCAGTGCAATTAGATCCCAAGGTATGGGTAACTGCCTACTCTTAATCCCATCCCTCAACTTAATTTCTCTTAAAAGTTGAATTGGCTGGAGAGGACAAAGGGAGAAAATACCACTTCCTATGTTAGGATATACCGTATTTTTGTTTTGATTATGGGTCCTGAATTGAGCAGCCACCAGAGGGGGCAATGCAGGAGGACATGCATGACAGAGCAACCAGCTGTCTTCATCTCTATACCTGACGGCGGGGCAGAGGTTTCAGAAGGGAAGGTAGTGCGAGATGCCTGTCACAGTGCTCCTGCAGCAACGGCAAACCTCTGCATAGACCAGGCAACAGGAACAACAGGCTCTCGAGTAGTGATGCCAATATCAAAATACACATAGAATTCATACCGTCAAAACAGGCAACTCTTGAAAGAGGCTCTAGAAATTCCCACAATCCGAATGTCTTAACCCCTACTGAGCATACTTTTGCTAGCTTTCAGGCCTTAACAAGGACAGACATTAAGACCAGCAGACATTAAGATTCAGCAGCATTACAAGGCATCATGTTGAAATGTGATGGCTACTACCACTGTTTTAATACATGCCCCTTCACTATTACCCAGCTGATCATAGCTAAATGTTGCAACAGTCCCTGCTAGCTAACTGTGTTAGGTCAAAAGACAACCAAATTTCCATTTGAGAGTGTCAAGGTATATGAGGTCCAATCTCAAAATAAACTGCATATTTTTCGGGTGAGAGATCTGCATTTGTGCAGGTTTCCAGTGCTCATTCTTTATTTGCACTGAGATAAGCAATAATGGCCACTGGTATTGCAATATTTTTCTCTCCCATTTTGTTAAGGCAGAATGAGGCCCACAGTGACTCTTCCTTCTTTATAGCGCTTCTCTCAGGTAAGAAGTCATAACAATGCAAAATAATTCCATTGTACAGAATCTACTATAAGCCTCACTCAATTTGATTAGG